CCTTGACTGGAATCGAACCTGGGACCCTTTAGTCCGCAGGTCGACGCTCTATCCATTGAGCCAAACCGGCTAGGGCTCCACTGTATTCTTATATCTTCACCGGTGAGGAGAAACTGGCCACTGGGGGCAGAAAGAAGGAAAGAGATGTGCCAGCGATTCTGCAATGCATTCCTGCTCTGAGGTACAGCTGCTTCCTCAGAGGATGGGTATTGGGAAGATTGGCCAATGCTTCATCCGAATAGGGGTCTTTTCTCTCTAGTATATGGTGTATTTATTACCAAGGAAATGATCTCATCCATGTAAGTTAGGGTCACCCCATGGACGTCCATTTTTAGGCATAGAGTATTATAGCCACTTTTTGATAGCTCAGACTTTGTGAGTTAAAAGTCTTTGTGGGTTAGTCTAGACCCGTGGTCGGCAAACTGCGGCTCACGAGCCACATGCGGCTCTTTGGCCCCTTGAGTGTGGCTCTTCCTAAGCCTTAGGAGTACCCTAATTAAGTTAATAACAATGTACCTACCTATATAGTTTAAGTTTAAAAAATTTGACTCTCAAAAGAAATTTCAATCATTGTACTGTTGATATTTGGCTCTGTTGACTAATGAAAATCTTTTCCTATTTATCAAACCTTACCTGTTTGCATTCTTAAAGGGCCAATGTGTTTCTCTTTGGCCCCTTTAGTGTGGCTCTTCCACAAAATACCACGTGCGGGCGCACACGTACAGTGCGATTGAAACTTCGTGGCCCATGCGCAGAAGTCGGTTTTCGGCCTGGGCGAATTTATTTTGAAGAAGTGGCGTTAGAAGAATTGGGGTTACGTTCGCTGAGGTCGAACCCTCAGATTGAGGACGTTTTTAGCAAAGGCCAGTTTAGGAGTACCCTAATTAAGTTAATAACAATGTACCTACCTATATAGTTTAAGTTTAAAAAACAATGTACCTACCTATATAGTTTAAGTTCAAAAGAAATTTCAATCGTTGTACTGTTGATATTTGGCTCTGTTGACTAATGAGTTTGCCGACCACTGGTCTAGACTCCAGACCACCATGTATAATATTACTTTTGTGGGAAGATTGAGTTCAAACTCCCAACTTACACACAGTCAGTGTGGTATAATGAGAGAGACAGAAAACTTGTGTTTTAGGTTTTGGTTATTTTATTTTCTACTTGCATGACATTGGGTACAATGTCCAGTTTGTGAGCTGGATTTCTTCAACTGTGAAATATAATTTTCTCCTGTTTACCTCACATGGTGTTGTTGTACAGATCAAAAGAGGTAATGTGTGGATAAAGGCAATTAAAAATGTAAAATATGTGTAAATGCTACGTATTAAACCTTTGAGACATATCCTTTATTTTTTTGCTCATTTTTATAATAGCATTTACTAAAATACTAAGGAACAAATAGTAAAATTCTTTGCAAACCAGGAACTAACTCGTTTTTGTGAAGAGAGATTTGTATAGAAATACATAAAAATTGGGATTTTTATTGTCAACCCTTAAACCTTAAGATAGATATAGTTACAGTGTTTGTGTCCAGACACAGAATAATTAGTTGGTAGCTTGAAATGATTTGGGGCTTTCTCTTACATTTAGTAACGTGGACATTGAATCAGTGGAATGGCTCCATGGTAGACAACAACCTTAAAATTCTCAAGTAGCTGGTTGTTGCCTTTGGTTCGTTCAGTTTCCTTTGGTGGGTGGAAATTGTGAATTAACTGCCAAGAAATTCTTGCTGGTTGAAACCCTGGCAGAGCAATGGGGAAAACAGTGCTAACAAGAACACCGTGGGAAGGCGAAACCTTGCCAGTAAGAAAACTCCTCCCCAAATGTTTGATCTGAGTGTCTCAGTTGTCAACTGCGTTACGTTCAGTGTGGGTGCAGTGTCACTAGGTGAAATGTAGCCTCGTTGGCTGAAATGAGTCTTTACTTTTTTTTTGGTTTTGTTTTGGAGAAGAGACTATTTTACTAGGATTATATGTTAGAATATGAAATGTATTAGAATATTACATTAGAATTAAATGTAAATATATTTGTTATATTTATTAGGATATAAGTATCTATTACAAATAAAATATTCAAATGTATGTAGAAAAGAAAATTATAGAAATATGTAGGAAGCCTTACAACCTGAGCCACACCTCTGGCTTTACAGGGTGGACATGTTCTGGGAGAAAATGCAGCATTAGTGAGTTGTTGGCCTGGGCCTGGATGGGTCTGTTTGCTTTACTGGGGTGAGTGTCATTGATCAATAGGTTATACCCCCCAGTAAACCACCCAGAAAATGGGGTTGCTGCTGTCCTGCTTCTGAAAGCTGAATGGCAGTATGCAAGGGAGAGTCATTCTGTTGCTGACAGGAATGGCTTAATGTGCTTCCCATGAAGTATAAATTTGTAGAGGCCTTTAGTTTATTGGACTCTATTCCCTTAAGAGAATCGCAGCCTTTAACTATCAAGCCATATTTAATCAAGATTCAAGATAAAATATTTGAGTGAGGTTTTTTTTTTTGTTTTTTGGGTTTTTTTTTGCAACATGTCTTTCCTCATTGTGGAATTTAGTTCTTCTCATATTGAAATGATTACAGTCCTTATTTTACCTCACATGGAATTCTAACCTTGTAGTTATTAGAGATTTCAGAGATGTGGGAAATTATCATTGTATTACTTACTATCTAATACAGTTAAGTTGTATTTTAAAAAATACTTCAACTCTTAAGTATTTTAATATATCAATTGAAACTTACTGTACCTGAAAATTTTTTTTATAGAAAAATGATGTATCAAATAAAGTTGAATTGCTATCCCGGTATTATCCTGAATCAGTTTTTTAAAAAGGTAAATTATGTTCTGTTTCCTTTCTGTAACTGATTGGGGAAGAATAGTCCAAATTTTATTTTGAAAGGCTTAAAGTAAATATTTGGCCCAAATGATACTAAGGATTAATATCTTACTCTCCCCCCCCCCTAAAAAAAACACACACACACAAGAAAACAAAAATTAGAAAAGCTTAATAGATACATTAATTCATTGAACACATAATTATTGAATGCCTGCTATGTACCAGATACTATTATTGGTGCTGGGCAAAGGTTGTAGAAGATAAAGTTCAGTTAGTAGGCAAATGTATGGAAAGTTATTCAACTTCATAAGTATCAAAGGGTGCACATTAAAATATGATTATAACCTACCAGATTGGCAATTTCTTTTAAAAATAGTACTCAGTAATTTTAGTGTTGTATCTGCATTGTTTGTGACAATGTATTCTTATAGTTTTTTTATGAGTGTTCTTATCCTATGCATAAACATTGCTAGACATTATATGAGTACTTTGTTCATTGTATTTTCATATGGACTAAATAAAAAGAGTAGTAGCAAATTATATGTTGGAACTTAGATTATGATTTCAAAGTTCGAAATAAAATGAAGTTCAGTAAGGAAAAAGGGGATTTATATTCTGGCCATACAAATAAACTTTACAGCAAAAAGACAAATATGGACAAAGAGGAAAAAACATAGATACTGGGTTCAGTAGGTAAATCAGCAGGACTCTCAATTAAAAATAAAACAGATATATTACAAGGTTAAATAAAGCCACTATAGCAAAAAACACTCATAGGATTTATCTCCTTTTTTACCCAGCTGTCATCAGATAATTTCAAATTTTGCCCTGGCTGTGATGCCTACCAAAAGAAAATTTTAGCTAATCCAGTTCAAATGAAAGTTAAATAGTTATTGGTAAGATTATAGAAAACTAAGGGAATTTAGAGAAACATTGTACTTATTTTTACCGAGAATTGGGGTTTTTATGCTATGTCATTCTCATGATGCCAGAATTGTTAGAGTTGTGATACATTACAACTAAGAGTATTACCTTCAGATAAAAAAAAGAGTATTACCTTCAGAGATTATGGTTTTTCTTCTCTGTATGTCTGCAAACTGGTCTTATGGAATGCTTGAAATGCAAAGATTGTTGCTATAGAGAGCAGGACAGTTTAGTTTTAAATAGATAAGGTATAAAACAATTTACAATGCTGAAAGCTTCAGTGCCCTTTCAAATGCCATGTTATTAGGTCTATTTCCCTTCTTAGTATTGTTCATATTGAGTAAAATATAGCAAAAATGTTTCTGTGTCTTATGTTCATAATAAGAAATAAATATATTTTACATTTCTACCCAATACACATGTGCACGCAAAAAGCTCACATTTCATGAAGTAATACTTAAACTTACCACAAGCAATGTACTGTCCTATAGTAATTCTATTCCATTACTTTTCATTCCATTTCAGTTTTTAAAAAGTGCCTTTTTATTATTTCCTAAGATGATTTCATAACCCATGAGTAGGTTTATACTTGGAATTTAAAAAAATAAAAACTAGACTATAGGTTTAGGATCCTCTTTCTACTATGTTAATTTTAGTTTGGACACCAGTCTTTATTTAACTTTACCACCAAATGTCCTAATTGGTACAGCTGTTAACAGTTAGTACCTTTTTCACAGATCACAGAATTCTATAACTAACCCTAGGTGGAGATTATCTGTCCCTCCCCTGCCTCTGGTGTGTGTGTGTGTGTGTACTTTTAAGTATAGTCAAAAGTAGAATATTATAATAAGTCTCATGTTCATTACTTCTTTCTCACTGGGTTATTTTGAAATACATTGCAGATATATAATTTTTATCTGTAAAAACTGTAGTGTGCATCTTTAAAGATATTCCTTTTTAAAAACTACCCAAAGCATCCTTTCCATACTAACAAATAACAGTAATTCCTTAAGTCATCAAATGTCAACATTCACATTTCTTTGACATAATTTTTTAAAAACTGGTTTGAATTAGGAACCAAAGTCTATGATTATATTTGATTGACACATCTCTTTTATCTCTTTTCATCTATAGGTCTTTGTGTGTGTGCGTGCGTGCATGCGTGTGTGCGTGTGTGAGTGTGTGTGTTTATTGGCGAAGAAGTCAGGTTGTGTAGAAGTACCCTATTATGGTCATTTAACATTTTTCTCTGTCCTTTATATTTACAGTTAACTAGTAGTTATATTAGGAGGCTTTTTCAAGTTTTGGAATAAAAATGCTGCAAAAATGTTTTGATTTTACTATTGTGTGACATCAGGAGACACATAATGTTTGGTTGTCTTGCCTTTTTGTGATGCTAGAATTGATCAGTGGCTTTCTATCTTGTCATCTGATGTATCCATTATGAAAGTTTCCATCAGCTTTCTATCTAATGGATTGTTCATTGATGAACTTTGGGTTGATCCCATTGCTCTATTATGTATTTCAAAATGGTGATATTTTAACTCTATTGTTTTGCATTTATGAGCTGAAAATTTCTATAAAGAAGGACTTTACCTTAATTAACTTACTTCTTTTATAACTCTTTGGTCATAAAGAGAGACTGGATAAATGTGTGATTTATTTTTCCCCTTTATCATCAGATTTTTAGAATAACAGTTCTTTAGACTCCTCCAAAGGTGACCTGTAAGTTTTTGGTTTTAATTTTTCTTTTGTTTATTATCTTGAACTGATGGTTTTAAACTTATTTGATGTTTAAATAACATCATTGAAGTTATTATTCTATTTGATGCTCAATTTGTTTAATCTTTGGCCAATGTCGGCAACTTTCAAATATGCTCCAGAGACTTCTGACATGGTCCAGGAGTCTTTGATTTCCAGGCTCCTCTGATCCATTTTGTGCCCCAGACCTAGAATCAGCTATTTCTCCAAGGACAGGCCAGACTTTCAGGTTCTCAGATAAAGAATTGAAGTGACTTGATAGGAAGATGCTTGTTGGAAGACGAGTTTTGTGTGTAATAGTAACTACTTAGGCAGAACTGCAATGGAGAAGTAGTTTGATCCAATAGAAAGTATTCTAGGAGACTTGAGGTCTAGATACCAGACTCAACTCTGTGATACTGAGCAGTTTTTAAAGGATTTTCTGCTATTGTTTAATCATATGTGAAATGAGAGGCTTAGTAAGATCAGGGTTGTGTAGACACATGGGAATTATGCTATTGGTTCAGCTCAGACTTTTGCTAGTCTTTCTCAAGGCATTGGGTGCAGGTGGTCACTGTGGTCGATTAGAATTGATCCAAAGATGAAACCAACCTGTGAGATTAAATATAATTAGGTGGTTCTTCCCTCTCACTCCTTTCCAAAAGCATACCTTAGAAAATATACTAGTATTTTTACAAAGTCTCTATGAGACACTCCAGTTTGAACAGTAAGCTACTGTTCAGGAAGACACAGCCTGAAAACTCAATTAATGGTAGTTTTGCATACATATAGAAGCCCCAGGCAAAATTTCTAAAAAAGGAGAGACAATTTCACACTGATTTGGTGATTATTTCTGGGGGCATAGCTTCATAATTAGAATTGCTGAATGTTATAAATGAGTCTTTTGAATATGACTTTAAAAAGAAGTGTGTTAAGTGCTTCTGAAATGATCTACAGTCAAGGACCAGTTTTGTTTTGTTTGTAATTCCTATTTGTTGCCCACTGATACTTTTGTAAAAGGCAATAAAAATGACCAACAGTATAGAAACCAAAATTCAATAGACAAAATTCCTTCGCCTAAGTGCTATGAGTGTTTCTAAAGTAGTCTCTTAATTTTTACAACAAATAGCTTGTAGTGTGACATTGGCTGCAAACCAAACTTTGAGTGGCACTGCTTCAAGTAGTCACACATATTGAGTCACACAGGATTGATGAAAAAATAATGTTTCCTAGGGTCATGAATTTTGTGGCACAGAGGTGAGAATGGTGGTTGGTCATGTGTTAGATCAGAGGTTAGTACACTGTGACCCACTGGCTGGCTGGTTTGTGAAAGTTTTACTGGAACACAGCTATACCTATTCATCTATGTTTTGTCTACAACAGACTTGGGTAGTTTTGACTGAGACTATATGATATGCAAAGTCTAAAATACTTACTCTGAGGTCCTTTGTGGGAGAGTTTGCCAGCTCCTGCTTTAGATTTGAAAATGACAGTTGTGAATGATTGATACTTCTATAGTTTTTGTTTCCTATATTAACTTTGTTTTAATACATTAGGTATATTATTGTTTGATTTTTATCTTCTAGTCACTGATGTACCTCAAGTAAATTTGGAAAGAAGTGAAGAAAATGAATATAAAGATCAAATAAAGAAGAAGAAAAAAAAGTACAAAGACTATCAACCAAACTATTTCCTATCCATTCCAATCACCAACAAAGAGGTGCTATATTTTTACAAACTATTTTTACTATAAAGTTCTAAATTATACTTAAAGTACACTAAATGCTTACTAGTAAGTCCATTCTCTCTCAGTTTGTAGGAGTCTTTGGTGGCATGTTAGCTGGGTCTTATAGGGAATATTTGTATTTAAATGGAATATATTTAAAAATAATTTTGAAAAATATTATTTCAACCATCATATTTAAACAATTTTGCAAAAGCCACTTGAGAAAGTATTGCCAGATAGCATGTCATGGTCCTTTCTAAGCATTTGTTCACCACAACAGAGGAAACTTTCAGGAGCTGAGAGCAGTGACCAGGTAGAAAGAGAGGAATTCTGAAATCTTTGCTGGGAAAGTAAACTGGGCTTTCTTGCTGCTTAGTCCTGTATATGGTAATGATTGCAGCATAATTTCTTTTTTAAAAAAAATATGTTTTATTGATTTTTTACAGAGAGGAAGGGAGAGGGATAGAGAGTCAGAAACATCGATGAGAGAGAAGCATCGATCAGCCGCCTCCCGCACACCCCGTACTGGGGATGTGCCCACAACCAAGGCACAGGCCCCTGACCAGAATCGAACCTGGGACTCCTCAGTCCCCAGGCCGACACTCTATCCACTGAGCCAAACCAGCCAGGGCTGCAGCATAATTTCTTTAAAAATTACTCACTGTCATATCAACTTAATATTACATGACAGACTTGGTAGAAATCTATTAAAAATCTGAAAAATTAATGTGGTATGAATAATAGGAAATCAGATCAGCTAATTAGCCCACATTAAGAAACCCTTCTATATGTGGCTGAGAAAGCAAACTACAATATCGAATTAAAACTGCTAGAGTAGTGGGCTAGAAGAGATTATGAGGGAAAAAGAGGACCTATGTAATACTTTCAACAATAAATATTTTAAGTTTAAAAAAAAATACAACTGCTAGAGCAGTGATGTAGGAATTGAAATGCCTTACAAAACAACGCCTGACTTGGAAGACTGACTGCATTTACATATTGACCCAATTTAAGAGCCAGAACTGAATTTCTCTTTGATTGTGGGTTTTAATCTCTTTTTACTGTGCACTTTCAGGTTGCTTCTCCCCTTACTTAACTAAAATGTTTCTAGGGAATGCTAATGAATCTTTAAAAATAAACAAAATTGAGATCAAAGAAATAAATATCATAAGAAAAAAATTCTCTTGGGACATTCTAGGAAATATCTAGTCTTTCAGATAAGCTTTAGCCAGGGAAAGAAGACAAATGAAAAGATAAATTGTATTCCTAACAGTACAAGATCATAGAATCATATTCTGATTTCACTGGTACATACTGGGGGATTAATAGTAAAATAGTTCTTACAAGTGTTTAGTTTAATGTAACCAACAATTATATATTACTAGAGGCCTGATGCATGAAATCCGTGCAAGAGTAGGCCTTCCTTCCCCTGGCTGCCGGCACCGGCTTCCCTCTGGCACCCGGGACCCCTGGCTTTCCTCCGGCCGCTGCAGGCACCCGGGACCCAGGCTTCCCTCGCAGCCCCGGCTTCATCCAGAAGGTTGTCTGGAAGGACATCTGGTCTAATTAGCATATTATGCTTTTATTATTATAGATTTTAAAATGCTGCCTGGCTGGTGTGGCTGGGTGGTTGAGCATTGACTTATGAACACAGGAGTCAGGGCACATGTCTGTGTTGTGGGTTTGATACTGAGTGGGGGCATGTAGGAGGAGCCCATCCATGATTCTCTCTCATCACTGATGTTTCTGTATCTCTCTCCCTCTTCCTTCCTCTCTGAAATCAATAAAAAAATATTTTTAAAAATAAAATACTTGTGAGTTATTTGGAAAGGTTTTCTTTGAAATAAAGGATCATGTGTACATATGGGAATTAGAGGAGAGTAGGACGTCAAAGGTGTTGCTGCTAACGGAGCAGTCAGACCCAAGCCAGGTCCTCAAGAAACTGATTGTGAAATAGAAGGGTCTTCCCAAGGACCTGTGATTTATGATTGGGAGAGACTTCAGTTTCCTTATTTTGATTTGTTGGTTAGAGAGTGTTCCACTGCAGAGTCAATTAGTATAAAAATTGTTGAAAACTTCATACATTACTTTCATTAGGCCCTTCATTTTATCTTTCTCCACCCCTCTACTCTTGGCTTTCATGGTGGTCTGAATAGCAGTTCTGTATCATCCTTCACTCATGCCTTCCCCCTAACCCTAATCCTAACCCTGATCCTGACCCTAACCCTACTAATTCTGGTTTCTCACCTCTTCCAGCCAAGATTGGTGGGGTGATGTGGTGGGGAAAGGTGGATGGGGAAGGGAACTGAGAGGAAGCTGGTAGAGAAAGTCTTTCCTTCACCTCTTAGTTCAGGTGACGGGAGGAAAGGGGATGAGAGAACTGTCTGCAAACCTTAGTTTTCACTGAGCAGCCTTTGTTTCTGCTTCTCAACCTCTGGGATGTTGTATAGAAAATGACAAGAGTCCAAGCTTTGGAGTCTGACAGACCTTGTCCAAATACCACCTGGGTCACAAACTCTACTGTGGATGTAGGTCAGGATATTGAATTTCCGTAGTTTCAGTTTCTTCAGATGTAAAATGGAATTGATTATGATTATTTTCTAAACCCAAATCTGGACATATTACCTCCCTGTCTATACATTTCAGTATTTTCCCAGTGACCTTAGGATAAAGACAAAGTCTTTACCACAGTCTATAAGATACTGCATAGTCTGACTTCCACTTCAGCCCTCCTTCCTTCTGCTGGAGCCCCCTCTGGCCTTCTGTGAACTTACTGGGGTCCCTCTGCCCTTCTCTGGTGGGGAGTTTTCTTTCCTCTCTGGGTTTGTTAAATCCAAAATCTCAGCTCAAGCCTCTCCACTGTGACCACCCTGACGAGGTCAATCTGCCCCTTCCCCCAAAAGACTTGAAAGTCTTTCCTTTTGTTATTTGTCATCCTTGCAATTTGACACTTGTTAGTCTTCTAACAAAGTTTTTCAGCCCATTCCCAGTACCTACAACAGTGCTTGGCCAAGAGCAAACACAAAATAATGTCATTTCAGGGGCAAAAGATGTGTTTCTGGCATACTAAGTTACAACCAGAACATTACAAATAATAAATACAGTGTTATAAATGTCGGTTTTATAATATAGGCTCAACAGTAGTTGTTTGTCTTTGAGGGGCTAGGGAAACTTGTAATAGTGGGGAATACAGATTTCAAGTGACCTCAAAACCAAATATTTTAATAATGTAATAAGTCTCTCAAGAGACTTATTGGTAGGCAACAGAAAGCTTACATATTAAATATGGGGTTTAGAGGTAAGAATGGGACTTTAGGAGGTACATTTTCTATCTTTTGTATGAGCACCTTTTTTTGTTTGTTTTCAAGTATCTAATGTTAATTTTCTTTTTAAACTACGTATGAGCTTTTGTGGGAAGGCCTGGGAAAAGGAGCAGCATTTATAACATTGTTTCAATGGGAGACTGTACTCCAAATTTCAATTAAGTGACCTGCAAACAAGCCTTGGGAAGCTAGCACATTCACAATGAGTTGCTCTACTTTTGGCCTCTACTTGTTGGCATCTAGTTTTAGAGAAAAAAGTTTTCAGACTTACATGGATCTTTGATTTTTAAACACGTTCTTAGATGTTTTGAATTCTTTATTAGTGGAAAATAATGATTTCATATTTTTAAATAATGGAATTGGAAAATGAATTAGAATGACTGCATCAAAATATCCTAATTTTAAGTATATGAAAGTATGTATTTCTCCATTACCGGCAATTACTTAGCTCAAATATAAAAATAAAAAAGAAAAAAATTTAATGGAGCTATAATAAATCTTCAATGTTTCTTAACTGACTAGATTTTATATGCTCTCTTATCAGAAGTAGTAATTTAAGGTAAATCAGCATTGAAAATGTAAGGGAACAATCAGAAGTTGATTGAAATTAGGAGTGTATTAATTTCTTTGTAAGACAGTTTTTCTATACTAGTAGAAAAGTATGAGTTTTTAGAGGCTTACAAAGGCATTTGTTACATTTAATTCTGTATTTCATCATTTTGGTCAGGAGAATATGCAAGTAGATTTGCACATTCAGTTTCTGGGAAATGTAATTGTGAAAGTATCTGATAGGATCATGTATGTGAAGCACTTGATAGATATTTAAAAATTCTCCTATTTGAGGATAATTTCTTAGTTTTACTTCAGTTATTATTAAATCATCAACTTTTTGAGTTGTTTTTCATGGTTGTAGACAAGCAAGAAAAATGAGAGTATTTAGCTTTGAAGAAAAGCTAGGTAGCAATGTAACATGCGCACACGCCCTCTTGCACACCAACTTTAAGGCCTTTTCTTTGAACTCATAATAGACTTTGATTCAATTAGAAAGCTTAAAAGATATAAAAATTAATTTCCTCATTGTGTTGTTTTCAATGCAATATGGCTTAGTGGTGAGGTTTAGCAGATGGGTGTCTGATTTATTCTCTAAACAACCAGAAATTACTCAGTGAGTGAAATATTTAAGAATTTAGCCCTGGCTGGTTTGGTTCAGTGGATAGAGCATCAGCCTGCAGACTTGAAGGGTCCCAGGTTTGATTCCAGTCAAGGGCACATGCCCGGGTTTCGGGCTTGATCCCCACTAGGGGGCGTGCAGAAGACAGCCAGTCAATGCTTCTCTCTCATCATTGATGTTTCTATCTCTCTCTCCCTCTCCCTGAAATCAATAAAAATATATTAAAAGAAAAAAGAATTTTAAAAAGCTGTTTATTTTAAAAGGTTTCTTTCAATGTGACATTTAAATATGACTCTGTAGTACTACATCATTAATACGTGCATTGTGCAGTATTGCCAATGGCTGCAGGTTATGGTAAAAGATAAGCTTTAATGAATTTATGAATTTTAAACAGTGAGTATAAAAATTAATTTCCTTTGGTCTTTAATGACATTAGTACTTGTTTTAATAGCATATAGACAAGACTTCAGAGTCTTGAAGTATTTTTCCTTTTTATCTTTTAAGAATGTAATTAGGAATAGAATGTATTTTAAAAACTGTTAAGATGATATCAAGGAATATATAAATTAATCTGTCCCATCAAAGAATAATCAGACATATGTAACTTGATTAGATTAACTTTAGAATTTTCATAGGTTTGATGTTAATCCTGCATTGTAAGTACTGTGTGACTTCGGAGAAATAGTCTTCAAAGTGTTTTTACAGTTTTTAATTAGTGACTTTACAACCTATTGGATTATTCAAAGATATGAATGGTCTAAAACTATTTTACCATGTACGGTATTGCACTAAAATGTAGAATATACAAATGAATGGAATTTGAGTATTGTCCTGAATTTATGTATAATTAGTATTTGAGCTTAGAATGAAAACTAAGTTTTTAAGACTAAGAAAATACAAATACTGTACTCACTGGATGCAAGTAGCAAACCTTCAGTTGTGACAGTCAAAATGTGGCCAGGCATTGCCAAATGTCCCCTGGGAGGCAAAATTGCCTAAGGAAGAGAACCACTGATTTTAATAACATTGCAATGTTGCAAACCTTACGTTAGGCAAGTGTTATAGAGTTTACAAAGTAGTTCATCTACTATGTAGCTTATCTACTGTGATCTTTAACATACTTTATAAGTTTGGCAATACACATTTTATTATTCCTATTTTGCCAGGGGAGAAACCAAGACTTAGTGACACTAGGTGACTTGTATGGGGTTATACCTGTGGCAGGCCTGCGGTTAAAATCCAGGACTTTTGAGCCATGTCCAGCACCCACTTACATCTCTCTGTATTACATAGCAAAGTTCTCATCCTAAATCACCTTTTTGTTATCAGTTAAGCCAGAATTACCAATTGTATCAGCTAAGATTAGAAGATGTAATGATATTGTTTTGAGGTCTGACATTGTTGAGCACCTATTTAGGCCCCTTCCATATGAACTTGGACCTTCTTGAGCTGCTTCATTATTCCCAAAAGCCAATTTCAGCACTTCATTGCACCGGGGAAGAACTCTCAAAATTCAAATTTAATATAAATGTACACTAAAGGCTTTGTTTTGAGAGGGATAGTGTGTTGTTCCATTACACAGTATCCAGTAAGATTTCCCAAAACCTTCCTTTAAAAGTCTTTTTCCCGCCAAAACCAGTTTGGCTCAGTGGATAGAGCGCCGGCCTGTGGACTGAAGGGTCCCAGGTTTGATTCCGGTCAAGGGCATGTACCTGGGTTGCGGGCACATCCCCAGTGGGAGATGTGCAGGAGGCAGCTGATCGATGTTTCTCTCTCATCGATGTTTCTAACTCTCTATCCCTCTCCCTTCCTCTCTGTAAAAAATCAATAAAATATATTTTAAAAAAATAAAATAAAAGTCTTTTTCCCCTCAAGGTTTCATTTCTTAAGTCAGTACCCACATCTCTGACCCTCTCCTTGCCTTCTTGAAAACTCTTACTCCATTGCTCTCAGCTACATCTCCTCCTCCACACCCTTTCTGGTCTTTCCTGCAGGTGCCTCCCTCATCTTTTCCCACGCACTGCAATTTACCATTTTCTCAAGTTCCTGTGCTGTCTTGGGTATATGATTGTAAAGGGATTTTTTTAAAAAAAACTTCTGTGGTTCTAATTCTTTTAGTAGAAATGATACCAATGTGTGCCTCATAGGATTGTAGAGAGGCTTCAGTGAACTAGTATGTGTAAAGAGCTTACTATACTGCCTAGAACCTAGTGGCCACACAATACAGGTTAGTGACTGGTGTCATTGGTTAAATGTTGTTTTTGTTACTATTACCAGGCACTGTGGTGAGGTAGTAGGGCAGAAGAAATAGGTATTGCCCTGGAGGAGTTTATAATTTAGTTTTATCCGTGTTGTGTAGAGGAAACTGTGGCTCTATAAGATCTTTGTGTACGGTTACATTCTGTTACTAACAGGCCATCAATATTCTTTTACTGGGTGTCACACAAGTGACATCTTGCGTAGAAAAATATCATGTTAGGTGTTACTGTGTAAATTCCTACCAGGGAAGCGCTGTTTCCTATGTTTCGGTCCTCCAGATTGCAAGGAATAGAGAAACGCTGAGATTCTTTTGGGTGGCGTGCATTTATTGTAAAGATTCCCCAGCAGTCACATCCCAGGACACATCCCAGGATTTGCCAAGTCACGTTCCTCAGATAATGGGAGCATTGTTCAGGATAAAACAGCTAGTCTGGTATCAAGGACAGTCTGCTGTGCTCCTGATTCAGTGTTTTCTTATCTCTGCTGCCTTTTTCCTGACTCTGCTCCTGTTGCCAGCCCTTCTCTCCCTTCGCCTTTTCTCTCTGACTAATTCTGCTGCCTCAGGGCTTCTGTGTGCTCTCTTTTCTCAGGGCCGGGCTCAGTTTGCCGTTTTCTATGTGAACTGTTTTCTAGTACACTCACATTTAGAAGTTGACTAGAGTTGGGTCTAACTGGAAAGGAGGAGGGTAGGTAGTGAGAGGGGAAGGCTGGTAAAGGACCTGGGGTTTTGTCTGGATGCGAATTGTAAGGGCTTTTCTAATATACGTGTTTGGACTTCTTTGCCACTCTCCCTCCTCACGTGTCTGGAAAAATGACACTAGTCATCCCTATTGAAATTGTTGCTGTTTTAAGAATCTTAAAGCCATGAAGAATGGGTTCTTAGACACATTCACTAGGGCAGTGGCCGGCAAACTGCGGCTTGGCAAACCGCGGCTTGCTAGCCACATGAGGCTCTTTGGCCCCTTCAGTGTGGCTCTTCCACAAAATACCGGCTCTTCCACAAAATACCAACTTCTGCGCATGGGCCACAAAGTTTCAATCGCACTGTATGTGCGCGCCCGCACGTGGTATTTTGTGGAAGAGCCACACTGAAGGGGCCAAAGAGCCACATGTGGCTTGTGAGACACGGTTTGCCGACCACGGCACTAGGGGATTAATAAATTAAGAAATAGGTATTGCCCTGGAGGAGTTTATAATTTAGTTTTATCCGTGTTGTGTAGAGGAAACTTCCAACAGAAATGGACTGTTGTATGATGGCTTGATCATTCTGTGCAAAATAAAACTTTTTAAAGGAAAGATCCTAATTATAGTAAACCATACTGTATATTCAAGGACAAGTTTCTGAAGAGATGCATGGCCATTGAAAGATTTGCTGCTCAACTTAGTGACCCGATTTGTAAAATAACGGTGTTAGGCGCGATGTTCTTAAGATGGATAAGCATTGTATGATTTGACAAACTTATGCATCCTATTAAGCTTTTCAAATCACATATTAGGATATTTGAGAATTCAAGTTCAGTAGACAATTCAGTTTTGTTTGGTTGAAGAATCTTGACATTTCTAATTTTGGTGGTTGCTTATGTTTCTTCTTGATTTACACTTTGCCATAAGGAAATTTTGCTTACCTAATCTCTATTCTATGTCTGTATGTGGATTAGGTTACAAAAGGAATTAAGATCCTGCAGAATGCAGTAATACAACAAGATAAGCGCCTGGCCAAGGCAATGACCGGTGATGGTTCCTTTCATATTACCCTGTTGGTGATGAAGTTAAATGACGATGAAGTAAACATGTGAGTAATATGTCTTTCTTGAAGATTGTTTATCAAATTATTACTTTAATATGAATAAACATAGCAGAACCCAAAAGGCATTTAAATTCTAAAGAAGTATTCTTTAATTTATTCCAACCAGTAGTCCAGTGATTCCCAAAGTGGGCGCTACCGCCCCCCGGTGGGCGCTGCAGCGATCCAGGGGGGCGGTGATGGCCACAGGTGCATTTGGGGGCGATGAGTAACTGCTATTAAAATTAAAAAAAATTAATTTCCAGGGGCTGAGTAATATTTTTTCTGGAAAGGGGGCGGTAGGCCAAATAAGTTTGGGAACCACTGCAGTAGTCAATGAACCGAATTAGCTGTGTAAATATTCGTTAAAGTCTAATGTAGACTTTAAAACTCTGTTTTTGTTATCCAGTGGTAGCCCTTGACAATGCAGTTTTTTTGCCCATGGTAATTATATAAGCCCTCTGAGTCTGACCATTTAGGTTAGGATTCTAGATAAAGACTCTGGAACACACTATGGCACAAACACCTCTTTAAAGATGTCTGATTTTGGAAAAAGAAATTTACTTTTTAAGTAAATGGAGAAAATAATAGTTCCAATACATGTAAGAGTTCTTAGTATAGGGCCTGACACCTAGTAGGCACTCAATATTATTATCTGTTAGAGCTGTCATTCTGCTTGGTCAGTGTACAAGTGCTTCCCCCACCCCCAATTCCAGAGTTGTGCCATGAGGCTGAGAATAAGTCACTGACTGTTGCTTTCCATTCTGGAGTGGAGCAGCCTTGCTCTTCCCTTTCCTGTTACCTCCTGTATGCCCTCTGGAATAAGCTCAGGCTTAAGCTCTGTGAAAACCAATGCCAGGATGGGTGAAGGGTTACTTCTTTTTTCTACCCTGACATAGAGTCTCCTGAGGGAATGAAGAACAAAGCTTGAATGGGAAGGGAGTGGGGTAAAGGGAAAGTAAAGGGAGAAAACAATAAATTAGTAACTGAAAATATACAGCTACACTATGATTCTTGTAGTTATATCTTTTAGACAGTAGAACCTCATGTCTTTAGAGATCAGTCTTCTTATTTACCCCAACCTGATCTATCCAAGAGCAAATATTGAGCACCCTGCAATAGCAGAGAGGACTTGAAGATTTTACTTTACTCACTTTAGCTGTTCACTTTGCCAGTCAGAAGGAAAAAAACAAAATCTGATACTCTTATAAGAAAAGAAGCAAAAGATGTGGCACAACAAGACAAAAGCCCTGTGTGTGTTAGAGTGGTGTATAAGTCAGCATTCTCTAGAGAAACAGAACCAATAGGATGTATATCTATATGGATATCTAGATATATTGATATACCTCTATCTCTATCTCTAATCTGTATACCTATATCTAAATTTATTTTTAAAATTTAGCTCACATAATTAGCTCCCTGGCAAGCCCAAAATCTGTAGGACAGGCTAGCAGGCTGGAGACCCAGGGAAGAGTTGATGTTGCAGTCTCAAGTTCAATGGCAGGATTCCTTCTTCCTTGGACAATAGCTGTCCTGTTTTAACTTCAAATACAATCTTTGGTTCTGAACTCCAGGTTCAGAATTCTGTTTCCTATATGTGTATACTTTTTACTAATTTTACCATATAGAAGTCTTTTCATAAACTGCTCTTGAAAAGTTGTTGTATTTAAAAAAATTTGAAAGTTAGTGATACTTACCATAGATACTATGACTCCTTCTCACTCTGTGATTGATGACATCTCATTAGAATACATTTATTGATTTATGCAACTAGGGACTGAAAATTTGGACTGAGTTTAAATCATCTATATTTATTTAAAGAAAAATGGGATATGGAATTCAGTGTCTCTGAAAAGCCCTAACCTTCAGCATGGTTTGCTTTCATATATAGTTATATTTAAAATGTGTATCTTGAATTCCCTCCATGTATGATAGATGAGCCAGAAGTGGCTGTTCTGTTTTTGAATGCTTTAACTCATAGCACACTCTGTCTTTTTGGATGAACATAAATACAGTTTGGAAAGATTGGATTTAGGATGTAGATTTGGAGGTATAATGAGAAAATGTTGACATTTCCAGAGCTATTTTAAGTGTATATTATGTTATGACAGAAATGAGTCTCAGTATGGAAACTACAGATGACAGTTAAAAAGTTTATATGAAAACTAATTTAGAGATATGAAAGACCTAGAAAAATACCTAAATTTTGTTGCATACATTTAACATATAGTTATTGGTGAACAAATCACTTATCAAGATAATTTAAATTAATAGTATTCACCAAAAGGATGTTTTAAAGCCCTCTTCAACAATGTAAGAATGTACTTATTTCTTTTTTGAGTAATTGCTGCCCTCTAGTGAGATTTTAATTTTTTTCTCATAATAAAGTACCTATACCAAAATCCTCTTCAAGGTGGAAATAATTGATCCTAATTTATAAAATATTCTAAGCCTAATAATGTCTAATTCACTAATATAGTAAATATTTATTTTTATTAGGAAAAATCAAGGACTTGAAATAAAATAACCCTATAATGACATAGGCGAAACAGATGTAACAAACTTGTGTAGTTGCATTTGGTGAATATAAACTTACATTTTTGTTAATGCAAGTACAGTAAATTGTTTTATTATGGAGACTTATATTTTAAGAGATAATGTATATTAAGTTTCAGTAGAGTGCCTTGCAAAGAATATTAGTACTTTAAAAAAGAATCTAGAACTTTCCACACAATCTAATGTAAGCTCTCAAAGGTATTAGGTTTCTTGCAATATATTATCTGTAATTCTTTTCTGAAATTTGCATGCAGTATTTCCTATGTTAAAAAATTCCTGGTGAACTATAAAATAATATTTCCTTTCATGTCTTTAATATAATACAAATTATAATTAGGTAAAGACTTAATTCACTTCTTCCATAGTTTTTGTTTAAAAATTAAACTTAGTTTTATTTTAATCAGATAGATTAGATTTTGAAGGTATTTTGTGCTTTAAAACAACGAGTACAAGCATCAAAATTAATTTATCTTTTTAAATCTGATTACTTTGTTTCTTGTTTAGTTTTGTATATTTGATCACTTAGTATGTTACTGAAAAAGATATTATCTCTTGCCAGTGGTATTGATGCTCTTTTGGAATTAAAACCATTCATAGAAGAAATCCTTCAAGGAAAACACTTGATTTTGCCCTTTGAAGGGGTTGACACGTTTAGAAATCAGGTTGGATTTGTGAAGCTGGCAGAAGGAGATCACATGAACCCACTTTTGGAAATTGCAGGTAAAACAAGCAGCAACAAACTCATATGAAATTTCATGTGTTGAAGAAGCAATTTTCCCCCCTCAATTCTGGTAATAGAGCTTTGACATCTTTTAACTTTGGGAGGCCAATTTAACCTTACTTGATAAGTGAGCTTTTTCACCATTTTCTTGTGTGGGCAAGAAGCTAACTAAAAGGCCTGAAGAGTTATCTTGATTCTTTGACCTGAGGAATATGTTGATTCTGGAGCTGGATTCAAGTATTTGTTAAGCGTGTCCTATCTTAAATCTGAAGGATCTCAGCATGACACCTGACATGTAGCCGGCATTTAATAAGTATTGAATGAATGAATAAGAATCACCAGTTGCCTATTCAGAGGCTTTTGGTGACTGCCAGACCTAATCCAGAGAGTCAGTAGATGACTCAACAGCATTTTCCTCTGTGCTACTTTTTTCTCTCCTGTGTAGATACCACTCCTTGAGCAGAAGGTCTATTGGTGATGGTACAAGGTCTCACATCCATTGGAGAACATGTTACTTTGTGCAGCACAATTGAAAATTGTTAGGGAAATAGAAGCAGAAAATTACACAACCTGGATGAGTGACTTTTGAGTTGATTCAGAGATCGTAGGTTGTGTGTTAGTATACAAATGGTAAACCATTTTTATTTTCATTTTCATTTCCTTTCATATTATGTCAAGTCATTTTATGTCATCTCATTTCAGGTTCAATAATCCTTGGCTCACAACACACTCTCACCATTGGCCTATGCTTAGTCTACTTTCATCTATCTATCTATCTATCTATCTATCTTAAATTAATATCATAATCACCTGGGAATCCCCAACCCAAAATGAAAGCTATGTAGTAATCTATGATGTTGTTATTGGTAGAAATCTAACCTTATTGTTTTTTCATTAATCTGTCTCTTAGCCTTCTCTCATTAAGCTCACCGTTGTCCTGAAATTGGTGTTTATTTCCTTGTATTCTCCCAAAGTACATGTATTTTTAGTTGATCTTAATCTTATAAAAAAGGTGTCATGTTGTATGTGATCTTTTGAGACATACTTTTTTTACTTAATATTATATTATCTTTACGCAGTTTTATAGTAATCCATTCAAAGGTGCATCTCTTTTTGGGGTGAGGTGAGCATGAAGATCAGGTTTCATTTCATTGTTGGTTAAGTTCTTTTTTTATCTTTTTTTATATCTATCTATCTATCTATCTATCTATCTATCTATCTATCTATCTATCTATCTATCATCTACCTACCTACCTACCTACCTACTAGAGGCCCAATGCACGAAATTCATGCAAGAGTAGGCCTTCTCAGCCCCGGCACCTGTGGCTGCCTTGATCCCTCACAGCCCCGGCTTCATCCAGACGGTCGTCTGCTGTTCGGCCGTTTGGTCGATTTGCATATTACACTTTTATTATTATGGATATACAAACAAACATGCAAACAATTAAATAATATTTATTAGTCAAGTAGGACTTAACATCATTAGTTGGACAAGGAGAAAGCAACTCCAACAGTCTGTCCCCCTGCCCCTTACTGGGGTGACACTGGTTAACAAAATTATACGGGTTTTAGATGCATAATTCTACAACACATCATCTGTACACTGTATAGAGTGTTCAGCACCCCGACTCTCACAGGTTTGATGGTAAAGCATTTGGACACCCATGCCCACAGTTAACAAACTCAATCTGTATTTCGTGACTGCTCTGGAGAAAATGCTAGATGTAGGTCTTTTCTTTTGTAATTTAAATATCTCTGAACTCAAGAAACATTTTAAATTAGTCTTTCATTTATTGACCTTTTAAATAATTAAATGGGTGCTTGCAACATTGAGAGTGCCATCCATTCTTAACAAATATTCTCACAAAGGCAGTTTCCATTATTGGTAAAAGATCGATTGTGTGCTAAGGAATGTGAAATCTCTTCAGTTTAGTATGACTATGAACCCAACAGTTTTGGTTTGTCATTTTAGGCCAGGCCACTGCCCCTGTAATTCCTTTTTTGATGCCAGAAACTGCTGCTTAAAAATATATATACTTTTCCATAAATTTAAACAAAATATTACCCAAAATTGGGAAATAGAGGGAGGACAACACTTATATAATCACTGTTTGTTATACTTGTTTTAAATCTTCTATGTATATATTGTACTGTTTCTTTTGATTATTGCTTTGTACTGTTGATTTTATGGACTTTTATAAGAAATAAAAGTATTTGAGTATGTATATGTAAATTTTTCATTGAAGTCTATTTGGAGCCTCCATTTGTACAGTATTCAGGTAGTCAGAATGTTCAATACACAGACTTTTTGTTAGTATTTTACTTCATTAGATTTATTTTTCAAAGACTACCTCAGATTTAGTATTGCTTTAGTTCAACAGTATCAGTAAAATAATGTCATTTTGTTTTTTGTGTCATACTTTATAAACTATTCAAATGATATAGTCCAAATTTTGACCATGGTACAAAACTTTGTAATAAACTATGTATATGTATATGCCTATACAGGGATATTAAAATCTTATTTGTTCAAAATAATGGTGGTGGAGCTAGTTTGACTTAATGAAAAAGCAAGATAATTTCTAAAGAAAACAAATTTAATTATTAAAGTATTGATAAATAACTTAAGTTTAAATACATATTAAGAAGTAAAACTAACTTGAATAGTTGAAAATTATAATTCATGAGTAGTCTCATTTGTCTGATTTTCGTAGAGTTTTAAAATTTACAAGTTAGAAGAAAGCAAATTCTTAAAATATGACCTAGTTGTTTTGAAAAAAGGACTGAATTTCAGACACTAGTATTTAAACTCATTACTGAAAATTTGCAGGATAATGAGTAACAGAAATTTTAATGTATGAAATTGAAGACAATTATCATACATTTTGAACTAATAGAATCTGAATTGATGAACTTTTACATCAATACTTGAATTATGCATCCAGATATGCTGCTAATAACTTATTTTTGGTAGATGCTGGTGGGAGGAGACCAAGCTCATCTTTGATCCTGTTTTTCCATGGAAGGAGGGCAGGGGCTGGGTGAAGGTGGGAAAAGTGGCGGGTGGGGAAATGGAGATATCTGTAATAGTGTCAACAATAAAAATAAAGTTAAAATAAACAAAGCATCATCTTCTCTTTTCTTAGCATTACACAGTAGCTCATAGAGTTAATGAAATATTGAAAATTATGCATTTATATGGCATTTCTCCACATTTTACAATGATGAAGTTGCTCTGAAAAGCTTTTTGCATAGAAATGAATATGTGATTTCATTCATTGTTTTTAGTGAACTGTAATTTTATTAAGAAGTATATTACATTAAGGAATTGCTAAAAATTTACCCTACTGTATATAGTAGTCATTGCAATTTTTTTAAATGAGAAAAGTGTGCTTGGTTTAGCGTGATAAAAGATTCCAAGTGCACTTATCTCCTAAAAGGAAAAATGAAAGGTTTTAGGATATTCATTTGAACATTATACTTTGTCTTATTTTGACTGTCATTTTCCTTCAAAAGATGGAGAGAATATGCCCTGTGTTTCTGCCCTTTATGAAGAATCTGTTTGGTTACTGGTATCTTTGGGCATTTCTAGGCTGCTCTATCAATTAAATTATATTTAAAAATATTTGAGTGTAGTTTATTAGTTTAATATTTATAAATCTTGTGGTAAGTTGTGTATTTGAAAGCATTCAGAGCTTATAATATCACTTATTTAAATGTAACGTATTTCTTTTTTCCCCATCTTTAATTTTTTACTTTTTAATTTTTAAAAACATTTTCCAGAAGTTTTAAAATTTAGTCCAATTTATCTGTTTTAACTTTTGTTACTTGTGGTTTTGGTGTCATATATAAAAACTTGTTAAATCCAGTATAATGAAGTTTTCTTCTATGAGTTTTATAGTGTAGCTCTCATGTTTAATTTAGTCTTTGATCAATTTTGAGTTAATTTTTTTATATGGCAAAAGGTAAGGGTCTAACTTCATTATTTTGCATGTGAATATCCAGTTTCCCCAACACTGTTTTTTTAAAAGACTGTAACTTTCCCCATTTGATAGTCTGGCACCCCTTTATTCCATTGGCCTATATGTTTGTCTTCATGCCAGTACCATACCATTATGATTATTTAGCTTTGTAGTAAATTTTGAAATCAGGAAATGTTATTCAACTTTTTCTTGTTTATAAAGAATTTTTGGCTATTCATGGTCCCTTGAGATTCCAAATGAGTTTTAGGATGATTTTTCTATTTCTGCTAAACACCATTGGAATTTTGATAGAGATTTGCATTAAATCTATAGATTGCTTTGGGTAGTAATGTTGACATCTTAACAGTATTAAGTCTTCCAGTCCACAAGCGTGAGGTGTTTTTCCATTTATTTGTGTTTTCTTTTTTATTTCTTTCAGTACCATTTTTTAATTTTTAGTGTATAAATATTTTGCCTCCTTGTTAAAGTTTAGTTCTAAGTATTTTATTATTTTTGGTAATATTTTACTTATTTGGTAATATTTTAAAGGAGTTGTTTTCTTAATTTTTTATGTATTGTATCATTGATCTTTTATAAGACTCATGTCAAGTTTTACTTCTAAAATAAAGGCTTGTTTTGGTTCTTCAAAATAGAAATGACCATCTTCTCCTTTAATCCCCCCATACCCTATAGATGGATATCTACTGTAGAAACTGTAACACCACATGGCATTTGGTTATTTAGAAATCTACCTTTCTCAATTAGAGTGAAAACTCTTTAAGAGAATTTTCCATTTTTGTGCCCCTAGAGACTACTACAACATAGAGGTTTAATTAATATGTATTTTAACAGATATATAAGCCAAGGAAAATTTTAGATATAAACATAAAAGTCTAATTGAAAGAACACTTAACCTTGGATAGTCTCTCTTCCCTCAATGACATTCATGTATAAATCTTTGCATCAGAATCAAACCCAGTCCTGGTGTCTAGAATCCCTTCCAAATGTTGTACCGGAGCTCTCTGACAGTTCACTTGGATTAGCTGGTTGTTAGGATAAGAAGGGACCAGACAGAAGGGACCTCATCACTTTTACTCTTAAGGTTAAATGACCTGTCCAAGAACAAAGCTGAATAATAGGAAAACTGGGCCAATGTAAATGGGATGCTCAATCTGTTTTTTGTTGTTGTTTTTTTGTCAATTGCACTGGAATGAATGTGATTCCTCTGGCATCAAGATATAATTTTTAAGAGTTGCTTGTAATGTTTTAAAGTTATATTTGACATTTTTACACAGCAATCAATTGGGCATATCTATTTTAAATGATGAATATAAAATATTTAAATTGAAGTTGGTTTCAACATTATGTCAGCCTTTATGTTGAAGCATATAGTTCAAATGACTCACTAAAACCATTTAAAAAGAAACAGTTTAAGCAGCATATGGAAATAAAAATCCTTTAAATAGTAATAAAATAGGAATGACAAGAACAGTTGTATGGTTTTTATTTCTTTAAAATTTTAGATGGCTAAAAATTATTCTAAAATTTTTTTGAGGTTTTAAATATTATATGTGACATAACTTTATTGTATCTTACAATGATGTTAGAAAGCATCTCCCAATTGGAAAGCATGGAAAGAACTTACCATCTTTAATGTATGGTGTATTGTTTAATCACAAATCAGTCTTTTTAAAACTAAGCTCTAACATATTACTTCTGTTGTATCCACATACTGACACACAATATATATAGTTAAGAATGTATTAGGACCATCCTGGCAAGTGTGGCTCCGTTGGTTGGAGCAGCATCCCGTGCATGGGAAGGTTGTGGGTTCCAGCCCTGGTTGGGGTGTGTGCTGGAGGCAACCAATGGATGTATTTCTCTCACATTGATGTCTCTCTCTCTCTCTCTCTCTCTCTCTCTCTCTCTTCCCCTTTTCCCCTTCCTTCCTTGCTAAAAAAATTTTTTAAAAAAGAACTAGGACCACCTAATTTACATTAGTATTTTAGACTATTCTTATTAATAAATCTCTTTGTATACCTCAATAAAAATAAACCTTTTTGTGATTATTCTCAAGTTATTCATCATGCTATCATATAAACACCCTCAAATTTTTAAAAAAGGGGAGATAATGACAAAAGGGAAAAAAGGAGAAAAAATATTTGCTTTGCAAGAAAGTGTATATAATTAAAAATAATTATTGTATTAAAATTGATATGTTATAGTTTACTTTGAGACAATATCTAACAATTTATTTGCATGTAAGGTATAAATTTATAGTTGCTACGTATTTAAAAGAGTTTACCTGAATAAATTTCCTATCATCTATCTATCTATCTATCTATCTATCTATCTATCATCTATCTATCTATTTATCTATCTACCTACCTACCTACCTACCTATCTTAAAAAACAGATAAACTTCCCAGTATCTGGCATGCTTAATAAATATTTGTTGAATAGATGAAAAACAAACAAACGAAAAAAAAACAACAAAAAACCACACACTCAAAAAACCACCTAGATAAAATGAAACTGTTAGGATATCAAAAGTATTGTTTCTTTATAAATTATTTATTGCAGTGTTCATTTATGTAGTGAAGTCTATTACTATTAAAATATATTTTTAAATATATTTTATTGATTTTTTACAGAGAGGAAGGGAGAAGGATAGAGAGTTAGAAACACCGATGAGAGAGAAACATTGATCAGCTGCCTCCTGCACACCTCCTTCTGGGGATGTGCCTGCAACCAAGGTACATGCCCTTGACCGGAATTGAACCTGGGATCTTTCAGTCTGCAGGCCGATGCTCTATCCATTGAGCCAAACTGGTTAGGGCTTAAAATATATTTTAAGAAATTGTTCTTCAGACAATTTTTATCTTTAGCTATCAGGTAAATTGTATTATTTAGGAAGTATTCTTAGCTGACTTGTGAAGGATATCTAGGATATCTGATGTGTTTGCACTGTGATTTTCTATTTAGTGCTTGAAGGAATGTCTGTGGTACTAGAAGGAATTGAACAATCTCTTAAATTATTCATAAGCTTCTCTTCCAGAATATGCTAACGTAGATGAAGAATGACATGTGGTGTTCACACTAGCAAAAACTCTTCCTATCTCAAGAATAGTATTTCTATAACTATTACCCAGTACTCTGGCTAAGCAATAGATTATACTGTTATTAGGAATATAAAATCAATACTAAGGTGTACTTTTCCAAAAGCAGGCGTCCTTTTCTCTTTCCCTATTCCCATGTACCTAGAGCATATGCTGTACAGAGAAAAAGACATTAATAAAAATTAAATGTGCTTTGTGACAATATTTTTTAAAACAGTATTGTGAATAGATATCCATCACCCATGATTTCAGTCAATAATGAAAACTCTTGAGTCAACATTTGACCAGTAGATTGAAAAATGCTGTTTCTTTAGAATCAAATAATATGTAAAACTAATGTAGATAGTAATAAATGATACAGATGCCTACTATTTTACTTTCTGTTGAAAAAACTACTTTCACGATATCTCTTGTATGTTTTTGTTGTTGTTAATCCTCACCAGAGTATATTTTTTCCACTGATTTTTTTTAGTGAGAGTGGAAGGGAGGGCAGGATGAGGGAGAAAGAGAGAGAGAAACATTGATGTGATACACATCAATTGGTTGCCTCCCAAATGTGCCCCAGCTGGAGCCAGGGATCAAACCTGCAACCCAGGTACATGCCCTTGACCAGGAATCTAACCTTCAACCCTTTGGTGTATGTAGGCCAATCCTTTAATCACTGAACAACATCAGCCAGAGCTCTTGCATGTTTTGACAATTCTGAATATTGTTAAGTCCTCCTCTTCATTGGGCTGAAATCTGTCCCATGAGACTACAAGCTCCATGAAAGCAGGGATGTGCTTGCTGACTTTAACAGATAATGTGCCGGACATATATAGGAAGTGCTCAGAACATAATTGAATAAATGAATTTTTGCTTTTATATCTTCATGCTATTTCTGTTTTCTGGGTTGCTATGAACATATTGGTAAATTCTATCAGAAGCTCATCTATGTCATAATTCCTCAAATACTTGAAGCTTGGAAAATGTGCCCTAATTCCTTCACTCAGATGTTAGGAACTTAATAAATAGGTTTACCATGGTATATGTTAAGCCATCAGACATTACCAATGTTTGATTGTTTTGACTCATAAAAAAAAAATTTTGTATGAATCAGCCTAATATTTTGACTCTGTGTCTATTTAAAACAGTTGAGAATATGCCAAAATAATTGAGGAAAGATATACCTGCTTGTAATTTATATGAGCTAAAAGTTGACAAGTTAATTATAATAGTACTTGTCCTGAATATACTCATTGTTTTAAAACATATGCATGCCTAGACTGTTGACTTCTTTTTTGGCTGTTCAATATCTAAACTCTTTCCCAGCATCTCCATGTCAGGTACATTCTTTCATAGATTCTTTTGGTGCCAGGAACATGATCTTGCTTTGGCTCAGACTTTGAATCAGAAGCTAGTAACTTGACCAAAAAAGAACCGTGCAGAATCCATTCTCGAGATGGGCTGTGTCATCAGCGGTAGCTACCATCGGTCTGAGGCTGATGGCAGCATTTCTAGCCCTTGGCTGTGCCTGGTTTCAGTGGAGCCCGATGGAAGACCTCGTGGTGTCACTGGACCTGTTCTCCTTTGTACTTTGGGCATCTTGACGTCATAGCCTTCCAGCCTGGTACTCTAGTCCTCCATGTTCCATGAGGTCTGTTGCTGCTTAACTCAGGCAAAACTGTCTACAACTGAGAACCAGTGTTTTCTTGGCATTTTAACGGTCTCTTGCTTAACCTTCTCTATTGCCATAGAAGAGAGAAGAAAAATCATTTGGTGGCAGTGATTTGCAATGAAGGGTGTTTTAGGACATGCCCCACATAGTTTGCTCACATGTATGTGCTGGTATTGATGCTCAGCTAAATACTCAAGGGGGATCCTTTGCAGATCTCTGGAGTTTTCACTCTGTGTAAGTCTCACTTCTCCAGTTCTTTGCCCTGGGAGCTCCAGATGCCTACTCTCAGCTCTTTTTCCTGAACCAATGAGGTGACTAGACTCTATTCTCCTTGCACGAAGGCCTAGACACTCAAGGATGTAAGCTCGGCAGTCGGGCTCATCTTGTTTGCTTTTCACCTCTCAGGGGCCACTGGCCTTTATTACTTGATGGATACAGTGTCTTGCAAACATTTGTTTCATATACATTGTCCTTTTATTGGTTGTTTCAGATGGGAGAGCAAATCTAATTCCTGTTTTTCCATCTTGGTCAAAGCAGAAATTTTAGATGAAGGGCACAGATCAGCTAGTCCTTTTTTTTTTTTAGTCCTTTTTTTATACCTTTGGACACTACTGGTATAATCAGTGAGTCAGCATCTTATCAGTCAGTTACTTTATTAAATGTTTCTCTTTCAAATTATTGCTTTTGTGTGCTTTACCCAATGTTTGAAATAATTGCAGATTTAACTGTCATATATATGTTTATCATGTACATTGTTTTTTTCTCTCTTTTTAAAAAAAAAATATCATAGCCCTGGCTGGTTTGGCTCAGCGGATAGAGTGTTGGCCTACGGACTGAAGGGTCCTGGGTTTAATTTTGGTCAAAGGCATATGCCTGGGTTGCAGGCTCAATCCCCAGTAGGAGGCGTGCAGGAGGCAGCCAATCAATGATTCTCATCATTGATGTTTCTATCTCTCTCTCTCCTTCTCTCTTTCTTTATGAAATCAATAAAAATATATTTAAAAAAATCATAGATATATAAAACAATCTTTATTATAAAATATTTTGTTATTTTTTGACTTGCCATTTTTATAAAGAAAGCCATGTGTTGTAGTAACATTTTTGTGTTTCTTTTTATTTACTTCAGAGGCTGCAAAAAGGACATTTCAAGAAAAAGGCATCTTGGCAGGAGAAAGCAGAAGTTTTAAGCCTCATTTGACCTTCATGAAATTGTCCCAAGTACCATGGCTCCGGAAGGTGGTGAGTGGCCATTTGTATTGCAAACCTTGTTTTACTGGCTACACCAGTATTAAGCATGGTCAGCAGCATGAATGACATTGTGGTGGGTTTTGACATCCTATTTACTATTATTGCTCCTGGGTCTACTTCCCGGGGATGCTAAGTTGGCTCATGAGCCTCCATGGAGGCTGTTCTATGTGTTCCCTCCTTTGACAGCGTGGCTCTTGGCTGTATACTGTGACCAACACTCACTGCTTCTTTGTCTATTGCCACACCTGCTTCATCCCTCAAAAAGCCTTGAGGTAGTGCCAAGGTTTTATTTTCTGCTTTCTTTGATAATTGTTGTTTTCAGCCTGCTGCTATCAAAGCTTCCTCCACTGACCTTCATACACTGGTGCTGCTCACTGCAACTGGGTTTTTCAAGGGGACAAGCTTTTTAACCCTAGTCTACAGAGCTCTTCTAAAGTTTCCAATAGCTGTCTCCATTGAGGGCTTGGAGCAAGTGCTCCTGGGACGGGGCAAGAGGGTAACTGTGGGAAACCTTGTACTTAAAAGTACTTCTCCCTGAAGATGGTCAACAATGACGCAAAAGGGACATGTGTCTTGACTTCCCCTGTCTCAGGGTGACTTTCTGCCTTCCCAGGCCACTCCCTCTCCTTCAGAGGTCGGGATAATTGTTGACTTTCTTCTGGATTCATGAGCATTTCTCCTGGAATCTGAAGGGCACCCTTCATTGTTTTTCCCATTGCAGCCCAGGGAGTTGCTCATGCACATTAAGACATCTGCTCACCTGCTCTGATACACCAGAGTTGTGAGGTGGCCATGCAGATTAGTATTCACTCCTGCTTCCCATGACCCTTGGCTGCAGTTAAGACTGATTTGCAGCTCTATAAATGAAGGGCATGTTTATTAGTAAGTAGATCTTTTTTTCTAAATTTGGCACATTTTGTATTTATTGTCTCTGTGCTCAGAAAGTCTCTTTGGTCCTTTAAAACATGTGTTTAAGTGATTGACCATCCTGTGGTTATGAGTTTTCTATAAACTATTGTAAAATTCTTCTCAGGAAGAAATCTTGCATGTTTGTTTTGTTGGTGTTTTTTTTCTAACTATGCCCCACATTTAATATTAACTATATTAGGTGCCATTCTAGACTATTTTGGTAAAAATAGTTGTGTAAATAATAGATTTTGAAATTTGGAATGATAACAACTGACAATACTTATAGACTGACAGTTTGCTTTTTTACTTGTTATCTTTCCTTTTTTGCTTTCAAATGGATTACCCTCTTCCCAGTGGTTTCAAACTTAATCACAGAATGACAAATCAGTGGTGAAGGTAATAATCCACATTTCAAAGTGTTTCTGTCTTTACAATATTAACTTTGAAATGATAGCACCCAAGCACATTTATCAGAGGAATATTTAGACTCCTCTAGAATCTCAATTTCAATATTTCAGACTGAATTGAAATGATTCTTTGGCAGTTAATTTCACGGGATCTGCTCCCTTCCTTTACAGAAAGGAAATGGGACTTAGAAAGGTTAAGTGGCAGAAATGAGATGATATTCTCCTTAGTTGCAGAGCCCTGTGTAGAATCCATCTTATCTCATTCTCAGTCTCATTTTCTTCCCTCCCACTGGCCATGCCCATTTTATCCAAATTAATTTATATATGTGAGGAGCAATCTGGTCCAAATCATATTAATTTAACAGGTCTTTATTGAGGGCTTACTATGTGCCAGATACTGGGTGCTGGGCTGAGTTATGATCAAAATAGAAGCAGTCCTTGCTTATGTGGTATATAAACTCCAAATCAGGTTGGATTTTGTTTAGGTTAGAATGCTTAATCTTTAGAAAATAAAGTATGTATGACCTTACTGTTTTTTTCAGAAAGCCAAAATAAGAATATTTTCTTCTAATCTATGAAATGATTCCTTTCCGGTTACTACTATGATGTTCAGTGTTTCTGAATGCTTAAGAAAGTTCTATCTTAAACGTTGGGATTCATGAGTCACCTGGGATGCTTGGTGAAGCTGCAGATTTCCACCCTCTTACTTCAGATCTGGAGTTAGATGGACCGGGTGGGAAAAGATCAACCAAAGAAGTTGTTTGAATATATGCATAACTCATGGACATAGGCCATAGTGTGGTGAAGGCCTGGGGCGGGGTGTGTGTATGTGTGTGTGTGGGTGCGTGTGTGCAGGCTAGAAGGGGTCAGTGGGGATGAAAAGGGGACGTCTGCAATACTTTCAACAATAAAGATAAATAAAATAAAAAAAGACCTTGACTTTTGATGTTTAGTAAGTGCCATGGGTGATTCTGATCCAGAGGATCTGTGTGTAATACAAAAGTCCTCACTGAACGTCGGCAATAGGTTCTTGGAACTTCGGCGAAACGAGGTGTAATGAAATCAGTTTTACCCTAACTGATATAAACAAGAGTTAAGTTCCTGTGGCATCTCATGGACATTATTCCAAAATGATATTATTTGAGGACCTCCTGTATACTCTTGAGATTTGCAGTCTTAAATAAATGTCAAGCATTTTCTCTATGTAGCAAATCATTGGTTCCACTGTAAAAGTGAAAAGCAATATGAAAAGGTGGCATACACATAAAAGTGGACTTTTATTATTCTCTGTCATTTGCAATGCAGATTATTTGAAAATGTGACTGTTTGGTCTTTCTTCTTAACTTTTGTGCATTTCCCACTGTCTGTTCCCATCTCTCAGCACTAATGGTCTTCTGGGATTTTATCCTGGTCTACTCATTTACAAGGGAGTGGCCATTGATAAAGTCAGTAATGGGATGTATCGCTAGTATTCAGTGATGTTTAGATTTAGAATGAAATAAAAGGAGAGAGAAAGTGTGTGAAAAAAATAGGTTTATTTTCACTCAAATATTAGGAAGTTTGTCTCATTTCAAGTACTCTTTTCACATTACAGGCTATTTTAGTTTTAAAAATATTAGGTGAATATATGCTCACTGTAAACAATCAAATGCAACAAACCTATAGAGTGAAAGATATAATTTTTTCCTCCTCACTGCCCTGCCATCCCCTTTCTCCCAATATAATTTTTCTCTGTAGGTTACCACTACTAGTCTATCCTCCTGACCTTTTCCTATACACTGCAAATATATACAGGTGCATATACATGCATATTGTTCCTTTAAAACAGAAATAAATGTACCATTGACCCCTGAACAATACAGGTTTGTACCATGCGGATCCATTTATACACAGATTTTTTTTCAATAAATACTGTAAGTATATTTCTCTTCCTTATGATATTCTTAACACTTTCTTTTCTTTAGCTTACTTTGTTGTCAAAATACTGTATATAATAATATAACATGCAAAATATGTGTTAATCAACTGTTTACGTTATTGATAAAACTTCTGGCCAAGAGTAGGTTAATAGAAGTTAAAAGTTTTGGGATTTCAAAGTTATATGTGGATTTTGACTGTGTGAGGTGTGGGGATAGTAAGATAGATGATTCATTCATTATTATATACAGGAGGTATAATTATGTTGTAGTAGTACTTCATTTGATTTTTTCACCATCTAATGTGCCATTTTTTAATGACCTAAAAAGCCGGTATCCATGCTGATATACAAAAAAGGATTCCAAGTTGGAGCCATAATTGGTTTGTTCCTGAAGGTCAAACATCTCATTGACTTAAAAGATGTGGACAGTGTCTGGTGCAGGGATGAGTGTTCACCACCCCTGGGCTGGTCATAAAGATTAGTGTGAGAATTTCCTGGTGGTGTTCAGTGTTGGCTGCAGAAGTCCCTGGGCTTCTGGGATACTGTCCACTTGTAGGCACCTGTCATCAGACCATCCAGTAGAAGCAATCAAAAGCCCAGTGGGCTAATCAAAAGTTCTATAGATTGTGTTCAGAATTTTGAAAATATAGAAACTCTACTTTAGTTCTCCTAATAAGGAACCACTGTTACACATGGTATTCTGGTTACCAAGGTAGAGCATTGAGTTCTAACCCAGATTCTGGGTAACATAAGACTTTTCTTGGCAATTATGTATTTTTCTAACACCAGGAGGCATTTAATTAATGTATTGGTTTTGCATATTATTAGTTTCATAAAATGTCAGTGGGTATATCACATAAGAGTATTGAAAGTTGTGTATTTTAAAGCTATTTTGATTATCACTGTGCTTTCAAAGTTACAGGGTTTTTTTCATCAAATTAATGAAGCCTCAAAAATCTTATTAAATTATGTTGTCTCTGACATAGTAACAGTTATTTGTCTAGTGTCCTTAGAATATATATATTTTTCACATGGTTAGTTTACTACTTGTTCAGCCCCATGCTTTTTATAGTGCATTCTTTTGGGCTTATTTTTCTCATTGAGTGACCCTGTCTTTCTGTGATTTAAACGTTGCAGAAACTGGTTGCTAACACTTGGTGGCAGAAGAAGACCAGTTTCAAATGAAACAGTGTCTTAATGCAGATCTAGATTCCTTACGAAATAAATGGGATCTTTTCAAGGAGAGATTAGGATTTTTTTAAAGCATAAATTATTTTCTGTGCTTCTTAGATGTCTTTTATGATTTATGATTCTTTCAAGTTACTAAACTAGCACTTAAATGATCACAGTTGAAGTTTATGAATTGGCACTTCCTTGTAGCAGCTTTTCAGAGTCAGACAATTAGAGAACTTTAGACTGAAAGAAATGCTTTTTAAAAAAAATTACTACTGTTGGCTACTATTGTCACTTAGAGTGGTTTGTTTTGAGTACACAATTTGATACACACAAAGCAAGGGCAGAAGGGTGGTTATTGGACCATCTGATGATGAGGTTGAGAGGAAGTAGATTATAGGACAGTTAGCAGTAGAAATAGCAATGGGGAGTGGGAAAGGAGAGTGTCTGGATGAATCTGGATGAAAATTTTGTTCTGAAGGTACAATTAAGGGAAAACTCAGTCCCTGAGTAGTTTGGTGACTGAGTATACAGGACCAAGAGAGTAATGAAATGCTACAGTAGGGTTGGCCGAATCCCAGCTT